ATACTAAGGTGATTTAAAGGATAGATATTTCTAGTTCATAATAAATTATGAGAAAATTACAGTAGCCTACATATAACTCCAATAGTCTATTGTACAAAATTTTATGCCATTTGGATAAGTATAGCAACCTCTACAAAAATGACAAGTTGCATAGGCTTATTTTAACAAAAATAGTTTAATCTTGTGAAAAGTGTCAAACAACAGATTTCATAATTTTCCTACTTTCATCCTAGCATAAAAATACTGTGTAAAAATTTTCATGATCATAAGTTATATAATTTTTACCCTAATTATTTTCACCAGAAACTATCAATTAATCAAGGTTAAATAGTAAAACCATATTTCAAGTATGCCTACTATAGGTTATTATTTTTTCTAGCTAGAGCATGTCGACACAAGACCAACAAAATTGGACTCACATTTTTAACACTTCCTTTGCTCAAGTTATCCATTTTACAAGATAGAAACCAATTTAAAAGCACTTTAATAGTTTAATTTAATTCCCCTAGAAAAATACCCCAAACAGTAGGTTTCATATTTTTATCAAATAGTAAACTTCATGATGAATCCAACAAAATTTGGTTCACTCAATTTGGACATTCCTAGCTATAGAAATGAATTTTTGAAGTTTGCAACAAAATCTGGAAAAAATAAATGAAGAAAAAAAAATCAAAACCCTGACTGACAGCTGGGCCCCGTGGGTCAACAGGCCCACGCGTCAGTGAGACAGGAGCAGAGGACGGCACTGACAGGGCCAGAGCTCGCCGACCCTACGGCGACGATGGACCAAATGAGAGGAAGGTAGGAGGAGCAGTGGTGATGGCTGGTCACGGGCGAGCTTGAGCTTGACGGCGCACCGCGGCCATGGCGGCGACGGCGATGCGCAATGTGGCCTCACCTGGGCTCGAACGGCTACAATGGCGGGTCAGGGAGGTAGAGTAGATCATGGCGGGGCTACGTACGAGGTGGATTGGGTGATGGGGCGGCGGTGGTGGCGCGCTTGGCTGGCGACGACACGGCGGCAGCGGCGATCCGCTTTGCTCTGCTCCAAAGCCGTGCGTGAGCGAGATGGAGAGGGCGAGAGTGAAAACGAGGGCGTGAGGGTGTGGGTGGTTGAGTGCTTGTCTTTGTGGCGCGGCAGGGCGGGACGGCACCGGCATACGGCCGCCAGATGGCGCACCTGGCCTGCGCACGGTCGGCCACCGAGGCCGTTTGAAATCGGCCATCAGGACTGATTCAGTCGACTGATAGGGCGACTTTGAGCTTCTAGATCTCCTAATCCGTGGTGATTTAGTAAAAACATCATTACTAAGAGTTATAGATCTACTTGTGATCTACAAATTTGCTTAAAATAGTTTTGCCTAATTCGCAATGGTTTTCAAACTACAATGCTCCAAAGTCGGTCACTTGAAACTGTAAACAGCTTTTTGACTAATTTCTAAGTCCCGAAAATAGCATACTATGGTTTCTTGTGGGCCCTATTTGACCTTGTTAGGCACTGAATTAGCTCATGACCCTTAAATAAAGTTTGCTACCCATGTCAAGAACTACAACTTTTATTAAGGGTGCACTGTTATGCAAACACTCGAGACTATAGTTCAACTCTAGTCAAAGTAGTAACATGAAAAATGAAGTTTTGAGTAAACTAGGACTTAGAAGCAAAATTGGCTCATGTCATGAATACAAACATTATTCCATTTTCCATCCTAGATGTGTCTAAGATGTTTTTGTGACCTCACAACCATCTCTTGTATTGGTCACACATGATCACAAGCATATACATGTATATAATCAACATCACATGTGATAATATGTAAGAATAAGATGAGATTTCATATGCTCATGCTCATGATGCTTGGATGATGCTTGTGCTCATGAAATACAAGTGCCAAATGCAATGCTTAACACTAGGGTGTTACAGCGAACCCCGATACGCAGCACACTAACATGGCAGGGCTCAGCAGTCCCGAGCCACATCGTCAGGGCATCTTGACAAGGCGAAAGCACAATGGCCACCTACCGCATTGAACGCACCTACCCGCATGGGATCGAGCGACGAAGCTCGAATAAGCCACGATTACAAACCCGCACTCAACGCACACGCACCTTAGCGCTTTCACGATCACTTCATGATCATAAAAACGCTCAGGGGCCGCTGTCGGGGTTATAACCCTAGGGTGTCTCAAGGCACCAATTAATCAGAAGGCCACGAGTCCCACAACACATCAGCTAGCGAAAGCCTGAACGACTGAGGCCCAACTAAGCCTAGCAAACTAGGCTGAACGATAAGGCCAGGGTCAGCCACGACCCCTCCCTCTTGCCTTAGCCGCACGACGCTGGAAAGACGCAGAACCTCTCCCCCGTCACGACCCCTGGAACGAACGGAGAGAGGTCAAGTGCAGCCAAGCGTGCCTCCTCTGACAAAAACAAGCACGCCGCACTAACCCCGCAAGGACCGAGGGGACACCTCGGTCCGGTTAGATGCCATCCCTATGCCACGCCATACAGATAAGACAATACCGCCCAAGGCGGTGATGACCGGTACGATGACCACGGACCAGATACGGCCCGACAAGACGTGGGTACGATACCACCCATCCAAGAGGAGAGATTTGACTTAGAGGCCATCCAGACTGGCGGGAACCACGACCCCAACGATCGGGATCGTGGCCCCCTACTCCTCAGGACAACGAGGTGATCGACGATCTAGGGGCAACAACCAACTCTCGCATGGTACCCCCGGAAGCTAGAAGATGATGACGAAGACCACGGTGGAAACCACGTCGCATAGGACGCTTGGCGAACTGGCATCGTGTCTACAGTGTCGCCTCGGCTGACATGGTAGCACCACGCCACATCATGCCACGACGTGGCCACAAGACCATGATGACAGCCACGCCTAGACGTGCTCCACAAGATGGCGTAGCTTGCAAGACAAGGTAGTTTAGGCCCTCCCTCAGTCTCATGACCCTTCGATCGAGAGAACCTCCTGCTTTGTATGTGCCTTGGCCCCGAACTCTATATAAGGGCAACCAGGGCACCATTTTTAGACATTCTGAGTCCCCTACTCATTCACTAACTCTCCATCGTAGCAGGGCCCCTGAAGTTTCCCTTCGGGCTACCCATCTCCTAGCTTTAGCTCTTCTTCCTCTTCCACCATTCTTGCACCCCCATTGTAAGAACTTCAGAGCATTCAAGCGAGGAACACACACTCAATCATCTCTAATAAGACTAGACGTAGGGTTCCGGTCTGAACCAGTATAAATCCTCGTGTCTTATGGATGCTACCATCGTCTTCCTGGAGCAACGCGGCAATTGTATAAGTTTACTAGTCTGATTTATAAAACACCGACACATGGAGTTTTTAGCATGCCCAAAGGCTGGGTAGGGCATTGATTTAGTTTGGTTGTTTTTGCATTGTTTTGTCCCTGGTCAGTATAAGGTAGAAGTTGATGGCAGAGCGATCTGATATGCATGTGGAATTTTAGATGATCTTTTTTGTGAATTCTCATGCATACGCTTGAAACATGCGAGCATGTATGGCCCAGTGTTTTTGTCCATGCTTCACCAGCTATATATTTTGCTGGTAAGGTTATTTGCCTATATGTATCTAGCCTTTATAGTTAGTATGAAAAGTTTAGTTGACTCAGAAATTTAATATTACAGAACCAGAGCGATCAATTTCTGACAGTTTTACTCATGTTTGACTTGTTTCACTGTTATTTTGCAAGATGATTTATGTGAATGCGTGCATAACTGTGGTCGGTGGGGGACCTTGCTGATTTCCAACTCTTAACTGCTTGCAAATTGTCAATAATAAGAGCACAGACTAAGAGTGGCCAGTCAGCTTGTTCTAATTTGTAATGAGTTTTTTCTGCTCCTTTGCTTATTAGAAATTCCTTTACCCATTAGAAACGAGTTAGTTTTTTGTTTGTCAGTCAGTTCATCCACTTCTATCTGTTCAGTATTATGATTTTTGTTTAGTTAGCTACTTATGGTTTACTATTTTCTAATTTGTTTGAAAATATGACTTCCTGCATGTTTTAGTTAGGTTATGTCATCTGTCCATTATGATGTTTTTGCCTGAAAGTAGTTTCGCCCTGATCGTTTGGGTTTGTTTGGCTTATAAGCCGTACTTTTTCAGCCAACGAACAATATTTTTCTCTCACACCAGATCAGCCAATAGTACTTTCAGTCATGACTTATTAGCCAAACAAGCCCAAACGAACATGACGTTTAATTGTAGAACTTATGATAGCAGGTAACTTGTACGTTTTTTAAGTGTCTAATTCTTTGCAGCATATGTTGTACTTTTTGTTGTTTTCCATTGAATTACTGGATTATTTTGCTTGTTGCTTCTTGTGCAGGTCAGTTACCTATTCAGCATCTATTTATCCAGCGTTTGATTGTCTAGCCATGCAGTTATTTAGGTTTCAGTTATCAGTCTAGAAGGCAGAAAATGTTTCCACCTGTAATCTTCATCACCTAGCAGTCTGTTTTTTTGTTCATTTGAGATGGATTCTAGGTTTTTTTTTGTTTCATTGGTAAAAGTATTATTTTTTTTCTTTGTTTATTATTTTTTATATTGAATATGTTTTTTATATATATTTTTGTTTTTAGCCTTTTTTGGTTTTTTGATTGTATTTCTTTTGTTTTTTTGTGCCCATCACATTATGATCTGGCGTTGTGTAATTCGGTTGTTTTTTAGTTGTGTAACAACCGTTTTTTTTTTGTTTGTTTTTGGTTGTTTTTGCCTTCGAAACAACCGGTTGCTAGGAAGCCTGAAAATAACCGTTTGGTCAGTAGACGGACTCGTTCCAATGGCAAACGGACATAACTGAAAGCAACCAGCGCCCTATACAGGAAGTATACGCATGTGTTAAAATTATCATGCAAAATATTCCTATATCACTCAATGGCGACCTTAAGACAAGATTATCGCCTAATAGACGCTAGCTACTTGTTACACTGGCATGTGGCATGCACCTAGTGGCCTGAAGCTAGCTTGTTGACCTTTCCGAGACGACGACGCTGTCTGTCCCAAGAGAAGATGGAACAGAGTTTAGCAGGCCAATAACCGGCGGTTTGTAGATTGCCACTGGCGCCCTCTGAGGGAGGCTCGGCAGCGGCGCCTCGAACCGAAGCACGCTGACGACCTGCCTGATGGACGGCCTCAGGTTGCGGTCGTCCTGCGTGCACCAGAGCCCGGCCACCAGCACGCTCTCCATTTCCCGGCCGTCGAACTCTCCGTTCAGCCTTGGGTCGGCGGCGTCGAGAACCCTTCCCTGGCTGTGCAGCTCCGACACATGCCACGCCAGGTGGATCACGGCGTCATCAAGCACGACTGCGGGGCACCGGCCGCACGCGATCTCAAGCAGGACGACCCCGAAGCTGTAGACGTCCGACGAGGCTGTGGCCCGGCCCGTGACCATGTAGTCTGGATCCATGTAACCCAACGTGCCGGCGAGCACTGTGGTGTACGACCCGCCATGATCGACGAACCTTGCGAGGCCGAAGTCGCCAAGCTTGGCGTTGAAGGACGCGTCCAGCATCACGTTGCTGGGCTTGATGTCCCTGTGCACCACGCACTGCTCCCACTCTTCGTGCAGGTAGAGCAGGGCCGACCCTATCCCGAGCACGATGTCGTGCCTGCGTGTCCACGGGAGCACGTCGTCCTTGGCGCCATACAGGTGTGTGTCGAGGCTGCCATTTGGCATCAGCTCGTAGAGGAGGAGAAGCTCGCCGCCGCCGTGGCACCAGCCGATGAGCTGCACCAGATTGCGGTGCCTCAGCCGGCTGATGATCCTCACCTCCGAGGCGTACTCCTTCCTCCCCTGCTTGGAGCCCTTGGACACCCTCTTGACGGCCACATGAAGGTTCATCTCCTCCAGGAATCCTCTGTACACTGACCCAAACCCTCCTTCTCCAAGCTTCTGGCTGTCTGAGAAGTTGTTAGTGGCTTTGGCGATTTCGCCGTAGCGAAACCGCTTTGGCCCGATCCCTTTCTCGAACTCGCCTTCCATCCCCCGCTCGTCGTCCATCTCAAACTCATCTTCCGGCTCTTCCTTGCTCGCTTCCCCGTTGAGTTTGGCGGCCTTTCTTTGCCGTCGGCGGAGAAGGTGGTACGTCGTCTTGAAGCCTAGAATAATCAAGAACGAGACCAAACCAACGGACACGCCAATGGCAACCCGTGTCTTGGACGAAGGTCTTGTGGGAAATAAAGATCCTGGAATTTGGAATGCTGCACGACGTCAAGTTTCTTGTTTCTTTTTTAATAGCGTTTTCTAAACTGCGTCAATCGATAAAGCGAAGGTGCAAGTGCAACGAGACACGCACGCGTACCTGGAGCTGCCTGTGGAGACGGCGGTTGCGCCGGACGTGTACCAGTAGCCAGCGGTGGTGCCGGCACCGGCGGCAGTGTGACGTGAAACGCTCCCACCTGGTAGCGCAGGTAGCAGGTGTAGCCCGTGAGGGCACCTCTGGTGTTGTTAGGGAACGCCTTCCCCAGCCTGTGGGTGTAGTTTGAGATGCAGGTCAAGCACTCGCTGGCGTTGAGGTCCCTGGTGCACTGCGCCAGGCCGTACATCATCTCTGAGCCCGAGTACAGCGTGCTGCTGTTGGCAATCCGCAGCGGCGAGTAGGTGACGTCCCCCGTGAGTTTGCTCATCAGTGGCACCCAAGCGGCCGGCACCAAGACAGAGGTAGGGTCGATGAAAGGGATTTTCCGGCGCACGTAGCTGAGGTCCGCGGTGGCAGGTATCGGCGCAGCCGAGTACCGGAGCACGCACGCGACGTACGACGCGCTCACGTTCCGGCTGCCCGGGCACACCGTCGTGATGCCGGCTGCCGCCGTCGAGAGACAATCCAGGCACTGCGTCGCGTTGCGGTCCGCGAAGCACATGACGAGGCCGAACACCTCGTCGGCCCCTGCCCCGGCGCTGGCCTTGTAGAACCAGCCGTTGTTGCCGGCCGCCGCGGGAAGCGCGGCCAGCAGCTGGTCCAGGTTCTTCTTGTATTGGCTGCCGTCGGTGTAGTTGTCCGTCTTCGAGCAGAACGGATCATCTGGCTCCGTGATCTTGTTGTCCTGCCCCGCGGCCGTGACGAAGAGGATGGCCGAGGCGGCGAGGAGGAGAAGGCAGGATGCCATGGCCGCCGGGGAGCTGAGGGACACCCTTGCTTTCTGCTCCTTGTCACCCTCTTTTTCCTCCTTGTTGATTTCTCAATTCTTGCATGGCAGGACTCGGCACATCCCTGTCTTGGTGACCGGTGACTTGGTGTGCAGACGCAGAAACAAGAATTCTGTTGTGTGTTCAAGCAGCGTGTTGAATTGAAGCAGCTACAAATCCAGAGAGTCAACCGTCAAGGTACTGGGACAAGTTCCGGATCCGTTTGGAAGTTTCTCAAGAGTGGCTAGAAAGGTTTCTAAGCTAGTAGTACTACTCTTCTGCTCTGAATGGATGTCGTGGTTCTAAACTAGTACCAGTGTGACGGATACTCAATTCAATTGTGCCATTGGACCATGTCAAATGTGATTTGGATAATCAATTAACATTGCCGGCCTGCGTTTATATATTTTTCTTGAATATCATACCATGCCGGCTTCCTATCACGGTCGTTTTAATACGATCCATTGGACCATGTCAAATGTGATTTGGATAATCCATTAACATTGCCGGCCTGCGTTTATATATTTGTCTTGAATATCATACCATGCCGGCTTCCTATCACGGTCGTTTTAATACGATTTCCTCAACAAGGACTAGGATGCGATGCCTTGGGACAGCCTCAATAGTTGAGTCAACCCCTAACTCATATATTATCGCATCCTTTAGGCCCTATTTGGCATAACTCTATTTCACCCGTAGAGCAGTTATTTTCTCTTCTTTTCTTTTTTTTGCCTTTGGCTGTATGAACAACTCCATTGATGGAGGCAAAGTTGTTTTAGAAAAACGTTTGATAAAATAATTTAGATAGAAAAGATGAAATATTTTCCTCTTATATTTTTTCCCTTATCTCCATCTTCCCCACGGCCTCTCCTTCTTCACCACGACCTCTCTTTCTTCCCGCATACCTCTCCTGATGCCCCCGTGCTCCTGTGCCCTGGCGCCCCTGTGTCCCTCTCGGCTCCACACCTGCGCGTCCCAGCGGCCATGCCATGGTTGTGCCCGCGCCAACACACCACGAGGGAAAATGCAACAATGGTTGTGCTCGGGCCCACCTGAGCGAGAGTGAGCTAGCAGAACCTAGTATTTTTAGGGTATGTTTGGTAGAGCTCCTACCCGGCTCCAGCTCCGGTTCCTTCGGAGGAGTCCTACCAAACGTTTTGTAGGAGGAGCCATTTTTTAGTGAAAAACAGAGGATGAGCCCCTCAAGAGGAGCTTTGCCAAACACCCACTTAGTTCCATGCGACACCTACCCGTGCAAGAGCGAGTTTTGGAAGCCACTACTTGAGGAGTTATTCCATTTTTAACCCATTTAACAAAAAAAAAAGCTCTTGAAGCCACTAGACAAGTTGTGCCAAACGAAGGGTGCACCAATGGATTACAAGGAGTACAACTATGTTTATCAAGAGGGCAACATGTATAATTCAGAAGTGGAGGTACAATTACACATATTTACGTTGAACTATCATGCAACAACACACCAAACCGTTGGACTTCAGTACTTCCTCGAACATTTATATCTATATCTATATTTATATATCTCATATTTTCAATCCCCATTAGCATCCTATCTCACCATGCAAGCAAACAAATTCCTTATATACTCTTGATTTTGGCTTGACACCCTTAATATTCATTATTTATCTTCATAATTGCATGTATTACTCTTGTGATCAATATCAATGCACAGTGATTTTCAAAGTCTTCGTTCATATAAGCAAACCAATATTGAGACCATCTTATATCCATTATACATTGTTCCTTTTGTCATTTGATCTTTGCTTGACATTTCTTAACTTATGCATTCTTGATTCATTTTTCAATACTTGATGGATCAATACCAATCACTATCAATCTTTTCTTTATATCATCCTAAGCAAGCCACTGTTAAGACCAAGCCATATTTATTTCTTCTTCGTCTCTTTTTTCCTTATTATCAAATATGTTTATTTCTTTTTCATTTCTATCACCGTCGTTTCAGCCTTATTTCTTTATATCATCCTAAGTGAGCCACATTTGAGCCTTGGCAGTAAGCTGTCGGCAGTGATAGTCATAGCTATCACCGTCGTCATCTGAAACCGACTGTGGTGTACACTACACCGCCGTATTAGCTTATCATCCGTCCGTGATAAAGTTCTTACTTCCGTTGCATTGGAGCACCACCTGGCTGTGGGTATACACTAACACCGTCGCATTGGCAAATTATCCGCCTGTGTCGAGGCTATCAAAACCGTCGTGTGCATCAAGCGCCTGTGTAGTGGTCACCAGCACCGTCGCCTTGTACTTCGACCCGACTGTTCGCTGCCCTTCGACGGCCAAGACGTCTGTGTAGCAAGCCTGGGCGTTCGGGTTACCCGATTTTTTTTTCAAGTCAGGTAATTCGGGTAATTCAAAATTTGGGTAATAAAAACTGCTACCCGATATTAGTCCTGAAAAAACACTACCCGTAATTTCGGATACCGGATAATTCAGGTTCGGATTCGGGTATTCCTGATATACCCGAATTTACAAAAAATAGCAAAATACACAAATGTTCTGTAGTAATTTATATATAATTTCAGCAGCAATTTATATAGAATTTCAATAGCATTTTGTAGAGAATAATGTATTACAGTCACTTGTTCAAACAGAAAGAATTATATTCTAATAAAGTGATAAGTTCAAGCGTTCAACTAACAACACATGATAAATACAAAGACAGAGACAAATGTTTGGGTAGTTCGGGTAGTTTAGGTACCGGGGGATATTACTTCCCGATCAAACTAATTTCAGATAATCATAATCGCTATCCAAATTTGGGAATGGGTAACTCGGGTTCGGGTAATTCGGGTTCGGGTTCGAGTAGTTCGAGTATGGGTAATGGGTATCGGGTATTTTGCCCAGGCTTACTGTGTAGAGGTTAACACCACAATCGCTTTAGCGTATGAACCGCCAGTACAAAGGTCATGGTCACCGTCGCCTTGCACCACGATCCGCCTTTGATGATCGTTTAGTCGGTGTCGGGTTACTAAATGATTCAGCGATGATATACTTTTGATAACTGCCGCATAATACGTATAGCGACGGTGTTGGACGTTTACACCACCACCGACGGTGGTGATTAGAAAACAATGAACGACGCTTATATTCGATGGTGACAGAATTTCATCCGATTTCGTAATAGTTACTAATTCAGCTGGGCCCTTAATAGCTTCATGAACATAAAGCATAGAGATATATAATCATTGCATCCAGAAATCATGTTCACAAATAAGAGTACTTTTTACAATAACAATAGACGCTACCATAACATCTTTCTCAACTAATGTCCTAACACAAGCGATACATAGAGCATACTAAAGGTACTGATCTATACAGACTTACATAACGAAATGACGTAGCTGTGCTCTTTCTATGTGGCACACCTGCTTGCAAAGCAAAATGAATATAATTAGTGCATCCTTCGGATTGGTAGCCAATGCACCATGGAACCCCTCTTCTTTAACTCTGATCCACAACTTTAAAAAGCAGCAGAATTAATAATATTAAACATACCATTCCTTTAGTTAACAAGCCAAAATTGGCCTATACATATATAGAATGAAAACAACTCCCTACCTGAACAAAGATTGTCGTGACGATGAAATAGAGCAAATGCACATTTACTACTCTGCTAATGACTCCATGAACAAGGGAACATAAGGAATATAGTAAGGCCTGTTCATATGAAAATGCCCTCTTGATCTACAAAAGCGGATGACACAGGCATGGATAACATGAACCTTTCTGCAGTCCATGTCATATGCAATCAATGTTCTATCCTTCCCAATAAGGAAAATAAAATTTTATTCTAGGTGAAGTGTAATCACTATGTACTCCTCATCACAAAGCTCAAAACCAATTTTAATATTCATGTGTCCAAACAGTTCCTCCTTGTCCACAACATGTTTCAATCTCCGGTTATCAGTACCATAGTCTTCAAGTATTCACATTAAAAGCCAAGACATATTGTGAAAATCAGCACATCACACACACAAGTGACCCTGAGCTTGATGGTTAGATATTTTAGCACCACATGGTTTATGAATTATCCTCCATGTCTTTCCCTCCATATCCACAACAACTATCGCAGAGTACTCAAGCATGTGCATAAAATCATTATGAAAAACACTTCTCAATTTTGAACGTAGAACAATACTCTCGCCCTATTCAGATTCCTTAAAAATTCATGCTGCAGTTTTAGATGAGTAGATCTCCAACCTATGCACGCACCCTCCACCTCAACAAATTTAATCACATGGAAGTGCGAGGACGTTGGGTCAAAATCTAAGTGAGCCTAACCAACAGAACGGATGCTATGCGGCAGTACATGCCATTTGTGGGTCGCCGGATTGTAGACAACATAGCGCCATAATCCATCAGGCCTAGCACACTAGCAAAGGACGAGGCCGCTGCAATAATCTGATACTAGGACTTTTTTGAAGGGGCAAAGGCAAGAAGGACAAGGAGGGCCGTTCACAGGTGATGCTGGTGAAGTGGCGATTGCCCTTCCACCAGCTGCCATAGAAGAAGTCGATGATAGTCTGTGAAAGCTTCTTACAGTGATAGGAGTCAGAGATGATGCGCTTTTAGGAGCGACAGACACACTTGCAGCAGCACAAGGACCGGGCGGGGAGGTAGCGGAAGATGTCTGCAAGCACATCATCTGAGAGGCTATCCACTACGTTCCTCTTGTTGGGGGCCTCCTTCATCTAGAAGGACACCACCAGCCAAAGAGATGAGGCCTCCCTACCATAGAGTTGTATCAATAAACATTAGTAAGGAGATAAGTTTCGAGGAGAAGGGACGGCGATGCAAGTAAGGCCTTATTACACTTGCTTTTGGATTTGGCGACGGTGAGCATGAGAGGCAACGCCGGTGACAGCAGTAGCTCGTTCGCCAGTGGATCTATGTGGGTAAGCCGGTGATGTGCACCTGCGTGTAGCAAGAGCCGAGCAATGGTGAT